ATTTATGGATACAAATTTGAATTTCATGTAAGTTTTACTTATAATATAGCACTCTTCTGATTTTTCCCCAAAATATTTTAAAGTATAAAACCCATTCTAGCTTATGGACCATTATTTGTAGGCTGTATGTGGGTCATTCATGAATTAGTATGCCAGTTTCTAAATTTAACATATCATTCAGTAACTAGTGGGAACAGCCAATTACGAGAATTTAAATTCCACAGAAAAAGAAATCTGTCTTGTTTGCTAGCATCTAGAATACTCTGCTCAATATGCATTTGCTGCATGAATATTTCAGGGGACTGCTACACATGCAAAAATTATCAATGCACCTTTCACTCAAAATTACATATCACATAATAAATTTAAGTAAAGAAGTGCCCGGCCGGGGTGCCCATCTGCAGGAACATACTTTTGATACGGTGGACGTTGGAGCCATATTTCTTATGGTGGGCCGTCTTGGGTGCCTCGTCGGGCCCGGGCGCGTCGGGCGGCTTCAGCGCTTGGATGCCGGCCTCGTAGGCACTGCGGTGCGGGGAGGCGCTCCGGAGGGGACCCCCGGGGCCCCGCGGCTCCGTCTTCATCATGGTGGGGGAAGCCAGGCTCTCATCCCCTCGCTCCCTGCTGCGCCCCTCCAGCAGGCGGCGGGCCAAGTCGGGACCACCGTCCCCTCCCCCGGAAGAAAGGAACCCCGAAAGGCCTTTTTTAGGGTCTCCCAGAAACCCAGCTGCCAAGAACAGTTAACCCCGCTTTAAAAAAAAATGGGGGAAATAATCTCCTAGCGCCCAGTGTGGGTCGCCTCCCCCAATCAAGCTGCCGGAGACAACCCCCCCCCACAAAAAAACCGATCTGATAATATGCATAGGATTATTTTGATTATTTTATTAATATTTAAGCATGAATTATGGGCTACCATGTGATCTACTCTGAAGAAAGTGTCATACTTCTAAGAAGAATGTGTTTTGTTGGTGGTGGTTGGAACACTGTAGGTTTCTATTTAATCCCATTACTTTGATGGTGTGATTCAACTCTGACATTTTTTTTTTGCCTCATTGATTGTTTATTTTTAATAACGAACTATTGAGGCCCTCTATTTTAAGTTTGTTGATGTTCATCTAATCTTTTATGTGGAATATTGCTTGTTTTTTGAAGTTATGTGTGCCTGTCTTTGGTTCATACATATTTATAATTATTATCTCTTCATATTTAATTGTTCTAGCCGCTGGGGGACTGGCACCTCTGGGTCCTAAAGGGATCGGATTTCCGGGGCCGGAGCCTGTTGGCCCTCCCCTTCCCCTCCGTCTGAATGTCGCGCCTTCCCTGCCCAAGCGTAGAGCTTTCCGCTGCCCCGGATCCTGAGCCAGACCTCGGCGATCCGTGCACTCCGACCTCTGGCAGTGTGGGTCATCAGAACCCACTTAGGCGCACCTCCATTCAGTGGAGGGGCCATCCAGCCACAGCGGTCTTAGGGCGGCCCTCTCCTCCCCCAATGGGAAGGGGGTTCTGTGGCGAGGGGCAAAGGAGCCTTGCTTTCCTGGTCCTTAGAACTCCTCAGTAGGCTTCAGGGCTCTTAGCCTCAAAATCGCCAGGCACTCGGTACAGATTTCTGGTCCCTCCCCCAGGCCCCGTGAAGGAGTCTCGGCCTGGGCCTGGGAATCTGCATTTAGGTTTCTCATAGTCGATCTTTTGCATCTCAGAAGGTCTAAGATCTTGGCCCAGGGCTGCTGGCCTCTGTGTGTGTGTGTGTGTGTGTGTGTAGAAGGGTGGTGGTGAAGAAAGAGGTGACTCCATCACCAAAGTGGCAGGGGTCCTCAAAGCTGCCCCGTGGAAGTCTGAAGAGTGTCCTGGGGCAGGCCTGCTCTCCACCCGAGACTAGAGAGGGGGCAGAATCTGGTCTGGGTTTCCCAGCCTGCACACTTGTCTTTCTCAAACAGGAAGAAAGGGTTTGGGAGGATAGAGGCCTGGGGCCAAAGTTTCCCCGAGAGAGCTCTAACTGGAGTCTCTGATTTAAAGGACCCTGGCCACTGAGTACAAGAGTGTGTGTGTGTGTGTGTGTGTGTGTGTGTGTGTGTGTGTGTGTTGGGGGTGGCAGGAGGTGAGTCACTTACATGTCCCCTCTGCTGAGAACCCAGAAAGCTGCTTTGCAGCTCTGACATTCCTCGAATACACAGCAAGGGGCTGGAGTCACCCTTACCCTCCCCAGTGATCTGGGTCCGGAGGTGGGGGTGGTCCACCCTCTGGACAGGCCCAGATATGTTGCTCTCTTCAGCAGATTCCCAGAAACTGAAGAACCAGATGGACGCTAGGACCCAGGGAACAACTCAGGCACAAAGCCTCCCCCCAACTCCCAGCTGCTTCCTGCCTTTCAGGCCTTCCCGCAGGCTCTGCCTCCTCCCCCGCCCTCCTCCCCACCGTCCTCTTCCTCATCTCCCACTCTTTCTCTGTTGGCTTGGAAAGGCTGGGAAAGTGAGCCCTCCTCACCCTCCCCTAGGAGGGCTGTGTGGGTTTTGGGGAGATGCTCACCGGTTAGCACTTGCAGAAGAGTATGCGGGGGATGGGGCGTGGGGAAGCCGCCTGGGAACCCTGAATATTGGGATGGGGAACGGCCTGTGGGCCGCTGCCAAAGGGGAGGGAAGTTTTGGGTTCTGAGCTGGAGCCGGAAATGATCCCAGACCTCTGGCTTTCCGATGCCACCTTCTCTGTCCCCATTCCCCAGACACTTCTCCCCCTCAGTCCTGCACTTGGGATGTGGTAGAGTAAAAGGCAGCCCCCCGCCCTCCTCCCCACCCTTCTTAGAAGAGCTCCTTCAGAGACCGCTCTGGGACTTGGGTTTCCAGGCTCCAGCTTAGGGCTTGAACCTCCCTCCACCCCTCTGTGGCAACTGGGAGAAAACCAAAGCTCACCCCTTTGGGGGCTGGGAAGCCAGGCGGGCAGTGTCCTCAGAAACTCTTGTGAGGACTGGGGGAGGGTGCGGGCCGCTGGGTGTTCTGCCCAGAATCTCCCACACCCTCTGTGTGAGTCACCCTCCCTGGTCCCAGCCCAAGGGGTCTATGCCCACGCTTCTGGCCTGGTGGGGGAGCCCCCAGCTTCTGAGGGTGGCAGGCGGGAGCGGAGAGCCAGCTGTCAGGTCAGAGGTCAGGGGACCCCCAGCAGCAACTTAGAAAGAACTAGAATTTGGGGGATACCAGAGCCTGCCTTGTCCAGAAATTGCTAAGGCTGAAACCTTAGGATTTGAGATGTAAGAAGGCACAGAGCCAGCCTGGAGCTGGAGCCACTGATGCTAATGAGTGAGATTATTACTGCATGGGCTCCTGGTTAGCTGGGAGTCACCCACAGCCAGGATTCCCAAAGGAGATTTTAGGGAGGGAGAAATACTTTTTCTTTCCCATTGGTTTTTTTGAGACAGGGTCTCACTATGTAGCCCAGGCTGGCCTGGGATTTACAGCAATCCTCCTGCCTCAGCGGGCTGGGTGCTGGGATTACAGGCGTGTGCCACCATGCTTGGCTTGGAGGGGACAAATACTTTGCCACCACTCTTTCCCTGAGATTAGGCACAAAGCAGCTGGCCTGTGAGATGGGTGGGGACCCAGGGGTCACCTTCTCCATCCAGGCCTCCGGCCCAGGGAGGAAGGGCTGCACTGGCAAGGGTTGAAATGCACAGGGAATGTTTTCTGCCTGCTTTTCAGGCCTCACTTGCTCCCAGCAGCTCAGCACCCTCTGTCTTCCTGTGGTCTTGGAAGAGGGGCCCTCAAGAAAGGTGTGTGGTGGTCTGCAGATGGACACTTCCTTTCTCTCTGCTACCCTGGTGTAGAGGGTGGAGTAGTGGCCGGGGTTCCGACCTTCGACTCTACCACTTGCTAGCTAGGTGACTTGGGCAAGTCACTTACCCCATCTACTCTGAGAGAGAAAACCCAGGAGCCCAGAGCAGACCATGAATGTGAGGGAAAGATGCTTTTCAGCCCTGGCCAGAAGGCAGAGGTGGCGACGGCTAGAGATGATCGGTCTGATTCTCTAGGCAGGAACTTTCCCTGCCCGGCTCCCAGGGTGGCCTGGGAAGTTCGTCGGTGACTCCAGGCTGTTCAATTTAAATACCGTGTGTAACAACAAGTATGGTGGTTGCAGGCTGAGGGACCACAGGGCTAGATGCCAAGGCTGCCTTCTCTTCCTGGCCCTGGGGCCTTGGCAGCCTCTGGAAGTGGTTTTTCCCTGGCCGAGGTCGTCTGGACAGAGGCAGGTCTAGACGCTGCCCTTCAGACAGGCTGTGATAAGCCAGTGGTCTTCGGCCCTCTCCTTTGTATGCCAGGGCTTCTGTGGGCACCTGGGCAAGGATGTGGGCATAAGCGCCCTTACTTCCAGAAGTGAACCCAAGTGACAGTGTTGGAGGGACCCCTGGCCCCATCACGGGAAGGCAGAGGGATGAGCAGTGGCTCAGCCAGTTTTAGAAAAAAGAGATCAGGGTAAAAGTTTACAATATCTGTGTGCCCTTGGGCCAGTCATTTCCCCTGCCTAAGCATCAATTTCCTCAACCGGCTCAACTTGAATGTCCGAGTGTCCTGAGCCTGTGTGTCTGATTCCCAGTCTGTATAGAGCACAGCAGAAGACAGGCTTTTTAAAACTTGTTTTTCACTAAGTCCATAAATTGCCCAGATAGGGCTTGAAGTTGCAATCCTCCTGCCTCAGCCTCCCAGAGTGCTGAGATTACAGGTGTGCACCACCAAGCCCGGCTCGACACAAACTCTGAAGACAGCCCATTTTTGTTAGAAGCCCCAGGGTGCCTCTTCTAAGTTGAAGGAACTCTGCCAAATTCCTTGGTCTGTGACACGGAGATGTACCTCATGCTCACTGAGGTTATTGGGAGGACTGAGCAGGCTGGAAAGGCACAGAGCACACCCGAGTGGGAGCGTTGGCTGCCGCTGGTTGCAGTGGGCCCGAGGGCGCAGGTGCGGCTCTGAGTCAGGCTTCAGTGTACTCTGGACCTCTGGTTTCCTCTTAGGGTCCATTGTGTGACGTTCTGGAGTACAAGCACTTCTGCCTGCCTGCCCGCAGGTCCTCTGAATCTTTTGGGATTATTTTTGCTTTTGTGGCTCTGGGGATGAAATTTAGGACACCGCACCCCCCATGCTGGACAAGTGCACGGAGCCATCCCCAGCCCCGGAGTCATTCTTTTTTCTTTTTTGTACCAGGGATCGAACTCAGGACTTTGCGCTTGCGAGGCAGGCACGGGGCCACTGAGCTACATCCCCAGCCCCCTGGAGTCATTCTTGAAGTGAAGGTCGCCTCCTTCTCTCCTTCCCAAAGGGACTTTCAACCCTGCCCCCCAGACCGAGCGCCTTGGGACCATCGCACCCCAATGTGCTCCCAGAGCAGGGAGACAGCCTGCCCCCCATTCTTGCTGGTTGGCCCCCTTCCTTCATCAGTCTCCCTACGGAGCTTTGGACACATCTTGGAGACCAGGGTGATGGAGGGGGGAGTGGGGGGCTGGCTGTGTCCGCATGCGCTTGCGTGTTGGGGGTTGGGGGAGAGGGTGGGACAGAGAAGAAATTTCTTCAACTCATCAGTTGCTGTAGAGGAAAGCCTATATTTAGCCGGGCTTAGAAGGCCTGTAAATATGTATTTTGCAGTGCAGACATCCGTAGTCATGGGAGCTCTGGAGACGTGCAGGGAGGTCAAAGGAAAAGGAAAGCAGTTAGGCAATGTGTTCTGTCATCAGCAAATTCGAAGAACTCTTAATACTGCCTGCTCCAACTGCGAATAATACACTTTTCAATGTTTTGATAGTTTCTATTTTCATGTGCTCTCTGGATTTTATGTATTGGCTGCCCAAGAGGGGCCCAGCTTCACGTCATCT